GATTGTTTTCATCCTTTAAGAAGCTGCACAGTGCTGCTACAGAGAAACACATCACTGGACAGTTTCCATTTCAGCAACATGATGAACATTAAACACTCGCCTCTTCAAGACTACCAACATCTTTTATTGAGCCTCAGCAGAAGCTGGTTCTCAGAGTTCTCTGGATGAAGACGGACCCTTTTGGGTCTGAACATCAGTCCTGCAGTGCTTGAAAGCCTCTGGCAGGCAGCTGAGGCAGGCAGGGCTGTGCTGAGCTTCACTGCTGGGAAAGATGAAGACGTTTGTTGTTTTGAGAATGTAAGGAGCAGAAAGTCCAGATATTTGTGTTCAAATGTAGGGAGTAAAAGTAAAAAGTGGTCAGAAAAATGAATACTCAAGTAAAGTACAGATACCAGCAGAATCTACTGAAGTACAGTAACCAAGTATTTGTACTTCGTTACTTTCCATCTCTGTTGAAACGTAGAACAGTGAAATTTTGTTAAAATTAATTCATTCTATAAATGTAAATATTTGCAGTAACCAGATTGTATAAAAATCAAGAAACTCTTGACTCCCTGGTGCGACCAGTAGTCTATTACACTCTAAAAGGTAATACCTATGCCTACTTGAACCACATTAGTGTACTTTACTTATGTGTCATTGTTCTGTTCATTTGACTTTTGGAGTGTGAGTATGGACTCATTTTTCCTTAAAGAGTTATAAAACTAAGTCCTCTTGAGTAAACTGGACTTGAAACGTTCTGTTCCTGGACTGAACACAGAGCTCAGGAGTGCACATGTGCAGTAGAGAAGTTTCCAGAAACTTCTCAGGTGGTGGAGCAAGTCGGTCATTGATCGGAAGGTCGGCGGTTCAATTCCACTCTGTAACCTGTCTCATGGTCGTTGTGTCCTTGGGCAAGACACTTCACCACCTTGCCTGGTGTGGATGCGTATGGATGGATTGTTGAGGTGGTGTTCGGAGGGCAGAATGGCAGCCAGGCCTCTGTCAGTCTGCCCCAGGGCAACTGCTGTAGCTACCACCACCGGGATGGATGTGTGTGAATGATTAACTGACAGTGTGAAGCGTCTTTGAGTGTCTAGAAAAGCGCTGTATAAATCTGATCCATTATTATTTAAGTTTCTAACAATTGGAAAGATCAGATTCATGATGCTATTATGCTATTTTTAAGTTCACAAAATTAAGTAAATACAGCGAAATTTTGAAAAAACTTTAAAAGTAAACTGAATGTACGGCTAATGGTTATATTTACTTACCTTTTTTGAGTGCAACCAGTTTCCTAGATTCATTTACATAAGATCAGCTTTTCACTTTTAAA